AATTATTTTTGTTAATTATTGATCTGGTGCGTATAATTTGTTTTTTTCTAATCAATTTTTCTAATGTATAAATTTATTTTTTTTAAACTTTTTCTTTATAATGTAAATTTGTAAACTAATGGGGTTTATTGTTTTTATAATACCTCATTGTATATAGCATTCAAACAACACTTCCTTATGCACTTAAAGTATTAATATTTTTGATTCTCTAGAAATTGTTTAGAATATACCTTACTTAGCAAAACAACGTTCGCCGGGTCAGCTAGTATATATATATATATATATATATATATATATATATATATTAGTGATGTGCCAAGTCGAATCAAGTGATTCGAATCATTCGAATCAAGCCTTTAACGACTTGATTCGAATCAGATTTTACTTGATTCGAATCAACTCGTATCAAGCCGCGAAATATTTACTGTGTGCATGTATGAACACAAATTTTCATAAATATAAAAAAAAATGTTTTAATTTAATTCAATATTATAATAATATAAATAATAATTATAATAAATATAAAAAATAATAATAATAAATATAAAAAATAAATCTTGAATTAAATCATGCGAGCCACCCGGCTTTAATACGCTTAAATGTATCACCCGACTCCAATTTTTATGACTTTAACCGCATTCATTGTCTTCAAGTCGATATGAATTCATCCGAGTTCCTATGACTCAAACCGACTTATTTCGACTTCAAGTCGCTATGAATTTATCCGAGTTCCTAAGACTCAAACCGACTCATCCCGACTTCAAGTCGTTATGAATTTATCCGAGTTCCTAAGACTCAAACCGACTTATTTCGACTTCAAGTCGATATGAATTGATCCGAGTTCCTAAGACTCAAACCGACTCATCCCGACTTCATGTCGTTATGAATTTATCCGAGTTCATATGACTCAAACTGAATCATAACGACTTGAGTTCGAAACATGTGTCCGTGTTTCAGCGTATCGACTTATCGAGATGCTGTGCGTATGAGTCTTTGAGTGTTTATTTATTTTTGACTAAGCGCTGAAAGCAAATTTGTTCATGAAATATCAAAAACTCATTTAGATAATAAATACGCGATTTAGATTTTAATTATTATCAAAATAAACTACACAACGAGTTTTATACACATACAAAATTATCATATTTTAATTATGCAAGTAATGGCAAATTCACACAAATGAAATAATATCAATCTTTACAGTAGTGGATTGAATTTTAAATCATTCGTAAGACGTTAGATTCAGCCCCCTATTTATATTAGATCTAAACAATCAATAATATACACATGCATTCTTTCAACGTAAGATTAAGAATATTGTTTTATTATATGCTTTAGTGATAGAGAAGTGTTATATTTTACTGTAAATTCACTTGAAATATTAGTTATATTTGTAGCTAGTTTATTATTATATATAATATAAATGTATCATCTCTGCACTTTTTGGAATTAATTGCTTACTAAATTAATTATTTCACTTATAAAATTATTAAAATGATATTATTTCTTCTCTTAAATTATAATTGTTCATATATGAACTTGATTCGAATTGATTCGAATCATGATTCGAATCAGGTTTTTTCTGATTCGAATCATTCGAATCAGGAAATTTTCGAGTCGGCACATCACTAATATATATATATATATATATATATATATATATATATATATATATATATATGTTAAAATGTTAATAATTTTGATGTTGAGATATGTGAGAATCAGTCTTCAGGGCAATACATCAATTAAAAACTTGTATGAACTTATAACATTTTTATTGTTTCCATACGTTTCGACACATTGTTTTGTGTCATTTGCAGTGGACTCTAGTTTGAAACCACAGATAGAAATTATTAATTAAAACTAATTTATAAGAAAGTGATATGGTGTAAAAACTAACATGTAATTGTAGTAATCCTAATTATTTCGTAATTATAATTGTTCACAATGCACAATAATTCTAACAATTTTTAATTTTTTATAACAATTTTTAATTTATAACAATTTTTTTGGAGTTAAAGAAAGGACTAGATGTACGAGAGAAAATTTTTGCAAAAATGGGAACGAATGTTAGATATTAGAATGTTAGAAAAATCCGAAAGTAAATTTTTGATGTTATGAAGGCCATTTGATGTTATGAATTAATAAATGGCTAAAAAAACTTTCAAGCATCACAATCCCAGATAGATTACTTTACAGTTTTACACTGGGTCCTAACTTTGCTATCCCCAATAAGTGCCACAATTTAAATTTTGTTAAAGTTTTAAGCCGACTAGTAAAATCTAGACGTACGTAGTAAAATCTAGAAGTAAAATCTAACATTCGTTGCCATTTTTGCAAAATTTTTCTTTCCTACATCAAGTCCTTTAACACCAAAAAATGGTTGATTACAAAGATATTTTAAGAGATATAAAACTTTATAAAAACTTGCTAAAAGTTAATCCGAACATTTTAGTAACCAGAGCAGATATAGGAAATGTCACAGTAGTTCTCGACAAAACTACCTATTTAGAAAAAAACACTAACCTAGTTAATGACACTAACGTTTACAGTCCTATCAATAAAGACCCTACAGATCGAATTAACCGCACGTTCCACAAATTTATTAATAATTTAGTATCTACCAAACAGATTCCTCAAGACTTGTCCCTGTCGTTAAAAAACCTACATCCCAAAAACCCAAAATTATACGGTCTCCCAAAAATCCACAAAACCAGTGTTCTCTTTAGACCCATAGTTGCAGATTTGAATTCTCCCCTAAATAAATTTTCCAAATTTCTGAGCAAACCCCTCTCTACAGTTGCTCTCTTTAACTCTCCGTTCTTTATTAAAAATTCCTTCGAATTTGTCAACAAAATTCATAATACTCAATTGCCCAACAACTCCCTCTTAATAAGCCTAGATGTAGTTTCTCTTTTTACGAATGTCCCACTAGAACTAATTTTAGAGTCAATCACAGATAAATGGTATGAAATTAACTATACAATAAAAAACTCATTCTAAAATTTATATATTGTTCGATTTAAAGTGACAAAAATTGTTTTTATTGTGCATTGTGAACAATTATAATTATGAAATAATTAGGATTACTACAATTACATGTAAGTTTTTACACCATTTCACTTTCTTATAAATTAGTTTTAATTAATAATTTTTATCTGTGCTTTCAAACTAGAGTCCACTGAAGATGACACAAAACAATGTGTCGAAACGTATGGAAACAATAAAAATGTTATCAGATCATACATGTTTTTAATTGATGTATTGCCCTGGAGACTGATTCTTCATTCTTCATATACATACATATATATATATATATATATATATATATATATATATATATATATATATATTAATTTTGTTATTTAATCTTTTTTTAATTTGACGATTGGGCTGCAAAAATATTACAAATATATATATATATATATATATATATATATATATATATTAGGGTGATTCTTAAAATGGTCATTTTCCAATTTTCTTGCTCCAAGGGGCTCGAATGGTTTCAAATAGATAAAAAACAATTCTCTGAAAGTTTTAGCTCTTAATATTAACGTTTAGATAGAGCGCAATTCAATCAAAGTTCTGTATGGAAATAGCATGGAAAAATTTTCAAAAATTTTAAAAATGTTTTTTAGATGTAATTTAGCGAACAAATGCATGAATAAAACTCATTCATTTGTCGCTAAGTTATACCTAAAACATTTTTTTTTAATTTTCAAAATTTTCTCCATGCTCTTTCCACACATTTTTCATATGATTTCAAATAAATTTCTACTGGAAGCTTTTGCTCTATCTAAATTTTTAACATTTTTAACGTACCGCAGGGAAAGGTATAGTAATGAGCCGAAAATCGAAAATGAAAATTTTTGCATATCTTCACGTTTCACAGGTTGCTGAACATTTTGGCATACCTCAGAAAAATTGATGTGTGTGTGTCTGCATTTTTTCGTTCGTGTTTTCGAGCGCACGGATCAGCCGATTTGAATGGTTCAAAAACATTCGATTCCTATTGATAGTTTGCTGTGCTGATTAGTTTTTGACAAAGGTAGGTCCAGCCGTTACGGAGATACGGAGCAAAGCGTGCAGAAAATAGAAATTGAGGTTTTGAGAGAACGGAGTTTCCGATTTGAATGATCCAAAAAAACATTCAATTTTTAATGATTGGGAGAAGTAGTATTTAGTTTTTGGCAAAGGCCAGTACAGCTTTTTCGGAGATACGAAGCTAATTGTGAGAGAACTAAGCATTCGATTTGATGATTTAAACATACTTCTGCTTGTTTTAAACAACTGCTTTTGGGGAAAAATGCATTTTTTTTTCAATTTTCTTTTTTTAAGAATTTTTTTCTGTATATCGAAAATAATTCAGATTTTAATTTTAATTCTGGCTAAAATTCTAAAGCTCACTTATATACTTTAAATAAATAATTTTAACTTTGTAATATCAGTTTATGTAATTCCTATAAATATTAGACAATATTAGTTAGTTCGTATTTATAATAATCTATTTCAACACATTTAATATTATTCGAACATTTCGTTAATGTACGGGAAGTTCCAGCAATTTGCCTTCAGGCAAGATGCCATACACAAAATATCAATTTGTTTCACTTTTTCCTCTGTATCTCTGAAACCGCTTGACCTCTCTTAGTAAAATTTCAATTTCAAAAATTCTTCATTTCGTCAATAGAAGTTTTTTGAATCATTCAAATCGGATGTTTATTTCTCTCAAAAACTGCCAATTTTGCAAATTTAGCTATGTTTCTTCGAAATGGCTGGACCTGCCTGTGCCGAAAATGAACAATAAACTTGTAATTAAACCAATATTTTGAAAGTTTAAATGACCCTTTTTTGAAATTTTTTCTGATATATTATCGTGGATATTAACGTATTATTAAACATATTTATTTAAAATATGTTATACGATATTCAAATTACTTATAACTATTTATCTATCTTGAAGTAGAATTATAAAAAAATATATACTTTTTTTTTAGTTCTGAAGAATCTGCTCAACTACTTAAAATAAATAAATGCCAAAAACATCAATTCACACTGGAAATAGAATTATCAAACAGGCGAAAAATAATTAGAGGCTGCTGCGTAGGTATGATTTCCTTATATATTACACGCATTAGTAAGCAATATATAAGATATAAATAAAATTCTTCTGTAATGATGTATGAAAGGATAATCCTCCTAAACGATTATTTGTATTTTGATAATCTTTATGAAGTTTGTTAAAGGAATTTTTTAGAATTTTGTGAATTAAACAAATAGAATAAATGGAAAAAATTACAAAAAAACGCTTATCATTGTTTGACAATGAAAATATTTGAGGCATTGTTTGACATTAAAAACAAATGAAGACTGTTAAAATATAATATATTTATGATTATAAATAAGAAAAATGTAATGTCTACATTATTATTGCCGAAAAGCAGCTGAGATGTGTCAAAAATTAATTAGACAGGTGATGCAGTCTGCCCATGCTTCTGACGGTTGTGGAATGTCAGTGGATATACCCTATATAATTCTATTTGACAGCTTATTATTATTTGAATAATGCTGTCGTGTTTTGCCTTACTTTACTAAATCACAATACAGAAAAAATAACTGATTCAAAAATACATTTAGAAGTTTCATTGTGTCAAAAATTCATATGTTGGATTCATATTTATTGGATACGGAATATTTACTCAAGTCAAGAGAGCGTTTTGGGTCTGAAGGTCAATTTGTATGGATTTTTGGAATTAGGTTCATCTTACTCTCATTTTCAAAAGTGAAAATAATTTAGACTCCTTTCCCACTTCTTAGGGGAGATGAAATCTTTTCTCAGTAGTGTAATTTTATGAACAAAATTATATCAATTATAATCTTTGTTTGCGCCGCAACTGCATAGGTTGTCGGACCTGTAAAAGGTTTGGTTTTCTACTCGGACAACACTTTTCAAACTTCTAAAGTCGGGCAATCCCGACCCACATAAAAAGGCGGATGTAGCTCTCTTATGTTCGATTCAATTCATTCAGTGGTTTTCATTCAGTTCGTTCAATTTCATACAATTGTTGCATTCAGTTCTATTCAGCTGGTATGGAATTGACCATTGTTAGCTTGGGAGTTCGTTCAGTTCAGTGTTATCAGTTGTTAAAATTTCCATTATGTTTCAAATCGACCAGTTATTTTTTGTTCTACTTATTGTTATCAGTATGATTCCAACATTTCAACCCGACTACGCTGATGTTTTCAGACCCAATCAAGTAGCTGCCGGCTTGGGCTTTTAAACAGATAACATTTCTATGCAATATTAATATTATTTCTTTTTTTTATTTATATAATATTTATATAGAATATATTTTAGTTTTATTGTATTCGTTACGGCCTATAAAAAAGCACTTTCAATCATTTTCAATTAGTTTTGTTTTTGTGAATACACTTTAATTTTCAATTCCCCGGTGTATAAAATACTTCGAAAGGGGTTGAAAATCCCCCCAACCTCAACATTTGGTCCTTTCGAGCCGGATTCTAGTTATTATTAGGATTAATTGTGTGTATCCAGAAAACAAAAATACATAATGGCGCCTAACTTGATATTGAAGCAAAAATTGCACAATTTAACAGCAAACAGAGAGATGTACTATTCAATTGTTCAAGATTGATAAACCTTCAAATAAGGCACAATTTTTTGAAAATTTATATATTACGGAAAATGCTCGAGAACAATTTATTCAATTGTGCCATGAAATAAATAAATAAAAATATGTTGATAATCCTAGTTACATTCCGGAATATTCCGCAATAAAGACTTGAAACGATTTATACCAAAATAAAACACGTTGAGAAATTGTTAGATTATAAAAATCTGCATAGTTCTTCAGCTAAAGACAGACCCAAACAACATTCAGCGTCCATTGAAGTACCTAAATAGCCCAGTCATTTTAGCATTAGGCAAGAATCTCGGAATGCGAGATATCCAGCTGTTAGTCTGTAAATACTTGTATATTGACAACCTAAAAGTTGTCTCAAAACCTACATATGGTAGGGTGTGCGCAACTATTAAATTTAAAAGTCAAAAATCACAAAAATCGGGTTTTTTCGCTTTTAATGTAAATTTCTCATTTCCTATGGGTTTTTTGCTATTTGTGTTTATTGTCAATATTGTAGAATACAAAATCTCTACAAATTTTGTTTAATTTTTTTTTTCATACGGTGAACCGTTTTCGAGATAGAGGGCGGAGAGCGCGCGGTCAGAACATCACTTCAGGTCAATCGGTGCCTCCGGTCAAAAACGCGCCATATATAGTTGATAAACTATCGACAGATCAATTATTTGTGAATATTTGTCAATTTTTATTAACTATTATGATTTATTTTATCATTTTTTTAACCTATCCACTTTTTATGCGGTATTAATTTATTTAACAACACTTACCTGCCCATGTAATTGCAGAATTGTTAATGAAAATATAAGAATTATATTCGAATTTAAACCTAATTAATATGCTTCAATGATAATGTACTGATAAGTCTTTATTAATTACTAACGCAGCAACGTAACGACTAAATAACGTAACGGACTAACTTAACGGAATACTAACAATAGCTACTAAACAATACAATCTGACCTTTGCTGGAACAGGTTTTCCTTTCCTGGCACAACACACACACCACTATACACTAAGCGGGTAGAGCGACTCGCGCCTGGACTCGTCCGACCTCCTCGGAGGATGTTACATTTTCTAATGCCTGTTTTTAACCCTCGACTTGGACCTTATATTGCAGGAACTCTAGTAAAAGTAGGTGGGGGAGTCCATTTGCACTGAGGGTTGTGCAACCCTTTGACGACAATACCAATTGTTGTTACAATATGTTCGTTAAAGTTTACTTTTCTGTCAAGTATCAGTTTATTTTTAGGTATTTGACTTTACTATTCCAATTGATATCAATTTATATTGATTTTATCATTTGGTGTTGGATTTTTAATTTTTTTTTGGTAATAAAATGTTTCAGTTTTGGACTCATTTATCTTTATTTTCCATTTTTCCGCATATTTTAAGATTTATTAGTATGGTTTTGGAGTATTGATATTATGGTGTTATTAGCTATAGCTGATGTAAATATAGCAATACCATCAGCGAAAGTCTTCAGAGTGGTGTTATTTTGTTGCGGTAAATCATGAATGTATAAACAATATAGGATACTACCTTGCAGTACTCCAGCTTCAATTGTCCTCAAGTTGGATTTGGTGTTAAATATTATTACATAAAAACTTCTATTATCAAAAGAATCTTTTATGGTATTGATTATGTATCTCGGAAATTTGAATTTTATCATTTTATATACCAATCCATTAATCCAAACTGTGTCGAAAACCTTTTCAACATTTAGAAGTATCATGCCTGTATTGCGTTTTCTGTTAAACTTGAATATAATTTGTCTCCAGCTTCAATTGTCCTCAAGTTGGATTTGGTGTTAAATATTATTACATAAAAACTTCTATTATCAAAAGAATCTTTTATGGTATTGATTATGTATCTCGAAAATTTGAGTTTTATCCTTTTATATACCAATCCATTAATCCAAACTGTGTCGAAAACCTTTTCAACATTTAGAAGTATCATGCCTGTATTGCGTTTTCTGTTAAACTTGAATATAATTTGTTCTACTAGTATTGAGAGTGGATGAAGTGTAGAGTGATTCTGACGAAATCCATATTGATTGTTTGGTATAATTGTATGTATGTTAATAAAATCTAGTATTCTTTCCTAAAGTATTTTTTTATATATTTTGCTTAAGATATTACGTAAGCTTATTGGTCTATAGCTAGATGGTAGATCAGCATCTTTATTAGGTTTCTTTATTGGAACAGTATTACTAATTTTCTAATTGCTTAGAAAGTAATTATGTTTCATTTATTATTTTTGTAAAAAATATTATAGATATTTTATCTAGATGTTGAATACGATATTAGGTATACCATTGTCGCCAGGAGTACTCCTATTTTTCTTAGATTCAGTTATATTTTTAACTTCACGAGGTGTGGATAATTTAATATTATTGCTTTTGTAGTTTGAATCATGATATTGATTCACAAAAGATTTAACATAATTTGTGAGTGTAATTGAACCTATATTATTATTTTGCTTATGAATTTTCTCAAATATATCTGCTATGACATTAGCTTTATGTGCATTATCAAAAATATATGTAGAATTTACTTTTAAATATATGGTAAGGTGAGCTAGAATTTTGCGCTAGATTTTCACTTATTTTATGATTAATAATTATTTTGTGCATTTTCAAATATGCAGGCCTAAAATGCACTAATGCTTATAACTGTACAAACAGAGCATTGTATGAAATGTAAACAATAAACATATATGTATCGTATCCGGCGTCGTGTGCACCGGGCTTTAGTGAATTTCCTTGCAATATAAAGTGTGGTATCTTTATTTTGATTCATATTAGTTCGTTCAATTTTTCTATTTCACAGTTGGTTTATATATACTTATTCCAATACTAGTAGAAATGATCTTGGTTAATCTATTCAGTAGTGTTTTCATTTTGGATTATTATTATTTTGCCATAATTTTCTTATTTTGTTTTTGTATTTGATCATATATAAAATATGATCAGGAAGTTTATTGTCATATGTCATCTTATTTACTTTAGGAATTGATAGTTTCATTGAGTTTTGAATTATTGTTGTAAATGCATGGACCGCTACATCTTTTTTTTCATTTTGGATATAATTTACATCTGTCCAATGGACATTAGGTAAATTTTATGAATAATAAAATAACAAAGAAGCTGTCTGCAAAATAAACTATTAAATGCTTGAGAGAGTGTAATTTAAGAAAAGATTATGATCTAGATTGACTTGGAATGCCAGTTAGGTCCAAAGGCGTTTTCCTTTTTAATCTTTTGGTGTAGTTTGCTGAGATGAGTGCCTTGGCGAGCCCGTTGGGATGGTTCTCCAGTCGGTGACTGTGTTTGATGGCGTATCTTGCAATTTCTTCATCTACCGTATGCAGGCCCATGTCCTGGTGGAGCAGCCATACCAGTACATATTTTGGGGCGTTCAAGATGATCCTTAGTATCTTAGTTTGA